ACCGCATACCGCTAATTGACTGTTGCTTAACCGGTCCGAACACATCAGAGTGAACCAACTCTAAAGGTTCTTTTGCTTTAAACTTCGACTCGTCATATGGTAATTGGTGTGCTTTACCATACTGGCATCCCACACAGATCGTGTCTGTTCTCACGTCTAGTTGAGGAAGCCCCTTAAGCATCGGCTTTTTCACCATCACACTTAGCTTGGAATAGCTAACGTGACCTAACCGCATGTGTCATAGATCTGATGTTTCAATTTTCCTTGTCCTGTCTACATATGCAGACTCTGCTGACATCACGTAAATTGATTCCAAACGTCGTCCCTCCATTGTTGGTGTTTCTGAGATTTTGACGTCACGATAAACCTTCACGTCTTGGGGACCAAATAAGACATAATGGCCTGATGATGTTAGTTGAGCCACATATAGCAAATTTTTCTTCATTCCTGGGACATGGTAAACATCTTGGAGTTGCACATGGTTAGTATTATATCGAGGCGTAACTATTGTCTTACCGATGTGAGTTATCGATAACCTTGAGTTGTCAGCTGTCACCACCACACGACCTCCACTGTACTCAGATAGGTTTTGCAACTTCTGTTTGTCACCCATCATATGATTTGAGCAGCCAGAATCTACGATCCAATCATTCTTGTAGTCAATCCGTTCTGGTGTTGTTAGTGTGAGAGCTAATTCTTCTTCCTCCGTAGCAAATAACGCTTCAGCATCCCAACCATCTTCACTATTCTCCTTCGAACAAGAAGTAGCAGTATTACTTTCAACAGGTTTTTTCTTGGTCCAACAGTCTTTTGCCATGTGGCCCATCTTCCCACAATTGTAACACTTGCCATCGAACTTTCTACTATTACCGCGATTCTTGGAAGCTCCCCCTGAATGAGGGCCTCCATTTCCTTGGTAATTTTTCACCTTGTCACCATCCTTTTTAGATCCATTACCAGTATACCGCTGAAAAGTGTCTCTGCTTTTGCTGGTGTAGAGCGCTTCCTCTTCACCCTTCAGCGAAACTCCTCCCATTTGCTTGGCCATGGCTTTTTGACCTGCAAGCAAATTTTCGAACTCAACAAGCGATGGTTGTGTCGGCCATCCCTGTACAGCGGCAACAAACCCTCGATATTCGGGTCTCAAACCATGGACAATTATTCTTTTTATCCTGGTTTCCCCAATAGCAGCTGTCGGATCTAATTCTGAAATTTCGCGGCATATCGACTTCACCTTGTGAAAGTATTGGGCAACCGCCATGTCGCGTTGCGCCATTGATAGAAGTTCATTCTCGAGAAGTTGCAATTTTGTATCGTTCCTCTTCGAAAAGAGTGTAACAAAAGTGTCTCATGCTTCCTTTGGTGTTTTAGCATCCCGGATGTGCTCCAATATTTATTCTTCAATTGTGATCTTTAAAGCAAACATTGTTTTGCCTGCTTTAATTTTCCACTTTCGCAAGATTCCATTGGCATCTTTTGTCGCCGGTTGTGTAACTTCACCACCACCGACAACCTCCCAAAGGTCTTGACCTTGTAAGTATGACTCCATACATGTTGCCCACGTGTTGTAGTTTTTGTTGTTGAGCTTCTTGATTCCTCCAACTACTTGAAGATCACCCATCTTAACGACAAGGCTTTGACTACACCGAATACTAAATTACTCTAAACACAAAGAAGCTCCACAAGGTTTGTAATAACCCCGACAATAACTCAAGAAATATTTTCTGATGTGGAAGATCAGTTAAAAACTGCAGCCACAGAGTATACTCAGAATTTCAAGAGACCTTAAAAACGTGGCTCGGATACTAATTGATGAATCAAAATAGAGTAAAAACTCTAATTGATCGAGAAGAAGAAAAAACTCTCTTTTGAATAATCTCACAAAATTGCAAAAGGGAAGAACTCTTAAGAAAGCTTTCAAATGCTTATAATTAAGCTTTGATTGTTGGATGATAAAACTCAAATACAAGTAGGGTATTTATAGGTTACAAGAAACAATCTAAACCACTCATTAAAATAAGCACTAAATAATCTAAACCATTGAAATTAAAACATGAGAAAAATACTTAATTTTCACCTAACTAAATTGATGTAAGCAATGACATCAAAACTAAATTGATGTAAGCAATGACATCAAATTAATTTAAGTGTGAACTTATTTAGGCTAATATTGAATTTTCAACACATGACGTCTTTATCGCCAAAATCGAGCCTTTTCTCCACTCGGAACTCTATACAAGTGATGCTGCATTCTCTCTGTCTGTGTCTGCAACATTCTGGTTGAATGCATACTAGTCTTCAATTCGCTTCAGTTAAACAAAATTAAAATATCTGATCGAATTTGATGTCTTTCAACTCGATTACAACCGAAGTTTGACAATGAAACATTTATAACTTTGTTTCGAATGGGAACGATATGGATTGCCTTAAGCTTCAGCTAAGTAACATACTAACATGTTTATCCGTGTTCTAAGTTTGAGAAATAAATCTGGTGATTCAGAAGAGATTTCTCATCATTATCATCCAAATCAATGCTACGAAATTCGCCCCTTTCATCGCCATTCGTCTTCTTTGAGTCAGATATATGAAATTCAGATTGTTTTCCATTTGAGTCATCATCTTCCTCTTGTTGTTGCATTTCTGATTCAATCAATGCCTGCATTCTTGCTCTCTCCCTGTCCCTCGGATAAGTGCAATAGAGGAATGAATAAATCGTGCAACAGATGGTAAAAGGGATCCCGATTGCAGTGTAAAGTGCCTTTGCGAGTGATGCAGCATTCTTCCGATCCGTCTCGATCTCTATCGAGTCTGATGATCCTTTCGGTATTGGTTTATAACCATAAACATGCTGTGCTAAAATCCCTACTATAGGAGGAGCAAAAGATGCCAGTATAGTCTCGAATGAGCGGTCCAATGCATAGATGCTTGTTCGGGATTTCTCGGGTACAATCTCTGCAAATATTGGACTGTGCACACAATTCATATACCAAATAATGCCAATAAAATGCAGATATACTCTCGTATTTATATGCAATCAAAATTATACAGCTAATGAAAAATGTATCAGATGATGTCTAAGCTAAGCCATAGAACATTACAGCGTTGATCATTCGCATGATAGACTGAATTGCAGATTACGACTACGAAACCTGAGTCACATGCATGCCACATTTAGGCAGTGAACTAGGCTGATCTGATTAAGTTCATCTAAATGAGTTGGGAACCTAAACTAAGTCCTTACATTTTATGCCCAAATACTTTCCAGATTTTGAACAATAATTCGATCTGACTATGTCTGAATATTAGTTAGGGCTATAGTCGATCGAAGTTATCGCCATGTTAATTGATTGAAAAGGAAGAATATGTACTTGTTTGTTGCTGGACCATTCCAGGATATGCAAAATCCCATGACGACGAAAACTAGACCATGCATAAATGCAGTGGAGGGATCATCAGGTAATGCCAGTAGCAAAACCGCAGCAATCGGGATAGCAGAACCCGAGCTTATCTGTGACAGAATGATTCTTCCGGAATTCGGGAGGCGTTTGGCTAGAATATCTCCCATCTTTCCTCCAAAGAGACCACCGAGAGAACCCGAAACCACGAAAAGTGTCATGATAAACGCCGTTGTTTCATGGGAGAAGCCGATTAGTTCGAGCCACATTGGAGCAAATGACAAAGCAGACCATGGGAATGTTCCTGAAACACCTTGAGCAACAAAGATTTGGAATGTCGGGATTCTCACAACCGACTTCGCTTCATCTATCATGTCCTTCACCAGCGAGGAAAAAGACTTATGTCCAACATGTTCTTTCGCTACATTATCGCGGTCCGAGCATCGCGGATCTTTAGCGAAAAGATGGACCAAAAGACCAACTACAACGCTAATTACCCAAACCAGATGGAATGCAAATCGCCAGCCAGGAATCCCCATGATAGTTTTCGAAGCAATAAGGACGGAACAAAAGCCGCCTAGGATCGAGCCGATGTTCGAAGTCAGTTGAAGCCACCCGAAAGCCACACCACGGTTACTATCATCAGTTGAATCAGCAACAAGGGACTGAATGGCCGGTATGACAATGGCAAGTCCAATCCCATTCAAACCTCTTGAAACTGCAACCTAATTAGCCAAAGAAGATGAATACAAAAATAATTACATTTTCATAGATAAAAAACATTAGATCTGCCTAAACATTCATTAAAAGAAACTGATCATTCATATATTCCATAAAACAAACAAAACCGGGAGAGTAAACCACCAAATCATTTAAAACAAAGGGGAAACAAAAAAATGTTACACAAATAACCTGGAGGAAAGTGGTGGAAATGGCGACCAGAAACGTGGCAGCAGCCCAAAGGAAAGCACCGAGTGCAATCACACGAGCGCGGTTGTGGTGCATAGAAAGATAAGCAGCTAATGGATAACAAGCAGATTGAACGATGGATCGGAACAGAGTGAGCGAGCCAAGCCCTGTTGGATCCGTATGCAAAGCGGCGCCAACTTCTTTGTAAACGCCGGGAAGTAACGACTCGTCGGCTCGCTCCATTATCCCCGCCAGGTTCACCAGAACCAGTGTTAAAGTCTCCGACTTCATCGTTGAAGCTCTTTCCTTTAGGAAACAGAGTCAATACTATGTTTTTATTGCCCTTGAGGGAAGAGTGTTGAATGTTGACTTTTGGGTGGCGAAGTTAGTGTGTGCTACGGCATATGAATGAGCGGAAAGGTTTCGAAGAATATAGGTGGGGTCAATCTTGATCGAACACGTGTATTGGTCTGATTGGATAGATCTGGGTCTTGAGTTTTCATTGGTTCTGGTTTTATGACATAACAAAAGAACAAAAAGGTCTGCTGCAAGAAGTTTGGGATATGGTTGGATGTCACCTGTCTGTCTTAGGTTCCGACATAAAAAAATAACGCGATCAATTAATTACTCCGGATTTTATATTGTAGAGATATATTACGAAATACTTTGTAAACTCAATTTATTCAATAATAAGATTTAAACTTTTAATCTAAAATGTCTAAAGTTTAGTCCCACTGCATTAATTGGTAGTTGGTAAATCAACTTTGAGCTCTTAAAGCTTTCATGCTAGATATGCATCTGAGTTTGCAAATGATTAAGATCAAGATGAAGAACTAATATGATCGTCCTGTAGATCATGAAACTAATGAACAAAAACAGTCATTTTGATCCTCGATTCTTCAGTTTAACATCAAACGTTAGACTTTTTTTTTTGGGGAAGAAACCAAGTTGTTGAAGCATTCCAAGTGCAAGAATCAAGTTGGTGATGATGTAGAAGAGACAGCTTGAAGAAGGATCATTCTGCTCCAGTTGTTGCATTTCCGATTCTATGAGTGTTTGCATCTGCGCTCTCTCCCGGTCTCTCGGATACGAGCAATAGAGGAATGAGTAAATCAAGCAACAGACTGCCAATGGAATCGCAAATGCCAAGTACAATGCCTTAGCAAGTGATGCAGCATTCTCTCTATCTGTTTCGATCTCTATAGAGTCCGACGATCCTTTGGGTATCGGTTTATAACCATAAACATGCTGAGCCAAAATCCCAACGATAGGAGGAGCAAAAGATACCGGTATAGACTCAAAAGAGTTGTCCAAGGCATAGATACTTGTTCGGGATTTCTCCGGTAAGATCTCTGCAAATATCGGACTAACAATGTTTGTCTAAATTAATTCGAGCAAAGTATGTCTTAGTCGATCGAGCTAACAATGTCTAAATCAATTCGAGCTAACTAAGTTTGAAACCAATGAGGAAATATAGGATGGACTAAGAATACATGCTTGGTTGGTTGCTGGAGCATTCCATGATATCTATAGTCCCAGGATTAAAAAAACCAGACCATGCATAATCGCAGTGGAGGGATCATCAGGTAATGCCATCATCAATACCACGGCGATCGGGATTGCAGAACTGGCACTTATCTGCGACAGAATAATTCTTCCAGAATTCAGGAAGCATTTCGCTAGGATATCTCCCATCCGTCCTCCAAAGAGACCGCCAAGTGTACCCGAAATCATGAAAAGTGTCATGATCAATGCTGTTGTTTCATGGGAGAAGCCGATTAGTTCGAGCCACATCGGAGAAAATGACAAAGCAGACCCTGCAAACGATCCCGAAACACCTTGAGCGACAATAACTTGGAAATTGGGTTTCTCATAACTGACTTTGCTTCATTCATCATGTCCGTCACCTGCGACGAAAATGACTTATGTCCGACATGTTCTTCCGCTACGTTATCACAAACCGAATATTGTGGATACTTAGCAAAAAGATGGACCAAAACACCAACCACGACGCTAACTATCCAAACGAGATGGAATGCAAATCTCCAACCATGTATCCCCATGATAGTTCTTGGTGCGATAAGGACCACACAAAGGCCGCCAGGATCGAGCCGATATTTCCAGTCAGTTGAAGCCATCCGAATGCCATACCGTCGTTACTATCATCGGTCGAATCGGCAACAAGGGACTGAATGGCCGGTATGACAATTGCAAGGCCAATCCCATTCAAACCTCTTGAAACCCCAACCTAATTAGCCAAATAAGACAATTGCAGCTACATCATCAGGCATAATAGTTCTCCAATTTTAGCTAACCTAAGTTTGCCCCATTCCAAAATCATTACATTTTCATAAAAACCATTAGATCATCTGCCTAAACTTCCATTAAAAACTAATAATCATTCATAGACTACAAAAACGAACGAAACCCAGAAAAGAAAACTCCATTTCAACTAAATCAAAAACACTAGAAAGAACCAAAGGTTAAGTAAATAACCTGTAAGAAAGTGGTGGAAATGGCGACCAGAAATGTTGCGGCAGCCCAAAGGAAAGCACCGAGTGAAATCACATGAGCACGGTTGTGGTGCATAGCAAGATAAGCAGCTAAAGGGTAACAACAGGATTGGACTATGGATCGATACAGAGCGAGGGAGCGAAGCCCTGTCGGATCCGTATGCAAATCGGCGCCGACTTCTTTGTAAACACTAGGCAGTAATGACTCGTCGGCTCGCTCCATTATTCTGGCTAGATTCACCAGAACTAACGTTAGAGTCTCCGATTTCATTGTCGAATGCTAAATTATGACAGAATGAAAGAACTGCTGCAAGATGATTGGGATGTGGGATCTCGCCCGTCTTAGGTTTGGACATCAAAATAATTGTCAGTTTGATCCAAGTCTTTTGAACATCTCAATCCACGTAAAGATCCAAATTTAAATTTTAATAAATATTTGAATAAAAAGGAAATCAATATCTAATTTAATTAATTTTAAAAATAATTAAATTAGAAATAATTAAATTAAAATTTTAAATTAACTAACCTTGAGTCGGTCTAGAAATTAGGGATGCAAACGGGCGGGACGGGTGTGGATACACTTTCCTCCATTCTCATACCCACATAATATTTTCGTATCTACCATCTACCCACCACACACACAAGACGGATAAAATTGAGTTTATACCCTAACATTTGGTTAAATTACAAGTTATGTCCTATAAAATTTATATGGAAGATAATTAGTGGGACAGACGGATGCGGGGCTCATATATACGAAACGAGTAAGGCCTTAAATCCATCATCTATCCACTACCAACAACACATAACTTTTTACATCTATACTCGTCCACTACCCACTAAATTTATATCTATTCTCGCACCAACTGAAATAGATATGGTATGAAATATACAACATTGTAATCGTCAGCCATCCCTACTAGAAACACACATAAATAAAAATAGTACAATTATAATAGTTTGTCATATAGATTATAAGATGTGTATCGAAATTAAAAAAAACAGATAAATACATAAAGAACATCTTATATATGCACATGTCTCGTCCAATCAACGTCATGTTACAATAATATTTTTTTGTTAATATTGTGTTTATAAGTAATATTTGTTTTAAACATTCTCAATTATTTGACAATAAAATTATCATTCAACTATGTTGTAGTCACTGATGTTCGAACCTAAGATCTCTAAGAATAATAATAATTTTTTAATCATTGAGATAATTTGGTTCGTGAATATTACAATAATATTAAATATACATCAAACTTATATTTTTTAAATAATATTAGCTATAACATATTTAATGTCCCTATTTAGATAGATCCAAATATTAATCCAAAATTTTAATCTTTCAAACAAGAAAATCTTGTTTTTATTTTATTTTAAAATATTCTAATAATGGATATTCCAATTTAATTTTAGACAAAGATCTCTTCAGCTTTAGCTATTTGCACCAAAAAAGGGGAAAAAAGTCCAAAGGAGGAGAAAAAATATGAACAAACACAACTGTAAAATCGTTATATCTTTTCCCGGGAAAATTCATCTATTTAACCCAAACAAGCCATAATTTTCTTCCTTGGCAGCCACTGTGACATCTCACGAAAACCATGCCCGCTTCCGGCCCTTCCCCGCGATTTTCTTCTCATCTCTAAACTGTTTTGTGTGTATTCTTCCACAGAAAACCCATGTTTTACCTATTTGTTTGTGTGGAAAATGCACCGTTTTGATCCGTAAGGACGAAAACTGCAGTGTGAGAAGAAAAGTTCAGCGGGAGAAGAAAACTATGGGGGCCATATATGAAAAGAAATCGAAATCGGGCGGTGGTGGGTTATGGGGTTCATTTTTCGGAAGGTGTAGATTTTGGCCAAGAAGAAAGTCTATTTCGTCGCGTCCATTGCCAAAGGAAAACAACAACGGAAACTACGTTAGAACGTCGATCTGGAATTCATGGCAGCGGCGGAGCGGTTCATACCATAGTTCCGATGGAAGTTCGTTCATGAAATCGCCGCAGAACCATTCGAAATTCATCGTCGTCCAACAGCAAAACAAGGTTTATAAACCGGCGCCGGCGCCGGTGGAATCGACCAGAACAATAACAGCGATGACCCAGAGAGTGGTACCCAAAGATGCAGTCAGCATCTCCGGCGAGCTCGAAAGCATGATCGAGGATTATCAAAAGGTAAAAGGCAGAGGCAACCTGGTCCGGGCATCGTCGGGGAATTTCATGATGTACGGCCATTTAGGCAACTTGAGGCAACCGGCCATCGGAGGGAATAAGAAGGAGAAGAAGGAGGTTGAAGAAATCGGTGAACCGGGTTCTCTGTGCAGAGCATTGTCGAAGAGGAGGAGTCCCGAAACGTTGAAATTCTTGGGGGACGAAGAATTTAAGCACGGCAAGTTCGGGGAAGCTCTGAATCTGTACGAAGCGGCCATCGCCATTGAACCCTTCAAAGCTTCGTATCGAACCGATAGAAGTGCAGCTTTAGAAGCTTCGGGCCGGTTTCTTGAAGCTCTTTTTGAGTGCAAAGAAGCCATTCGTCTTGAACCTCGTTATCTTCGTGCTCACCATCGTCTAGCAAGTTTATATATCAGGTAAACAATCGAAGAACAAAAACAAAAAGTTTCAAATTATCGTTTTTTTTTTGTTAATAAATTCGTATCTAAAATACAGATTAGGGGAAGTTGAAAACGCGATGTATCATTTCAAACGAGCGGGCACCGAGGCCGGCAATGGCGACATGGCCAGAGCCAAAATTCTTCAACAACATGTAAACAAATGCACCGAAGCGAAAATGCAACGAAACTGGAAAGCTTTGCTAAAGGAAACAGATGCCGCCATTAAAGCCGGAGCAGATTCAGCTCCACATGTGCGTAAAAAATCCTCCAAACACAAACAAATTTAGTATTTTGATCTGTGATTTTATAATCTAGAGCTTGGGTTTTTTTGTTTCTGTGAAGCTGTATGCATTGAAAGCCGAAGCTTTGATGAAGCTCCATAGACACCAAGAGGCGAATGAAGCGTTGTTAGCAGCGCCGAAATTAAATGACGATGTCTTCATTAAATGCTTTGGCCCTATCTGTAAAGCGATTATTTTGGTCGTTCAAGCTCAGGTGGATATGGCTTTCGGCAGATTCGATGATGCGGTGGCTGCTACCGAGAGAGCAGTTAGGCTAGACTCTAAAAGCAAAGAAACAAGCAGTGCAATGAGCAAAGCTAAAGCACTGGCGACGGCTCAAATGATCGGAGATGAGCATTTCAAGGCATCGAATTTCTACGATGCGTGTATCACATATGGCGAGGGGCTGCGGCATGATCCGCGCAACTCCGTCTTGTTGTTCAGCCGAGCGGTCTGCTACGCCAATCTCGGCCAGATTGAGCTCGCGGTCGGGGACTGCACCCATGCCCTTAGTGTCCGCCCCGGCTATTCAGAAGCTAGACTCAAAAGAGCCGAATGCAATTCCAAGGTCAGACTTCATATTTAACTTGCTTTTCAAGTATGATATGATGCGAAAAATAACATGATTACTATACGATAACTTAATCTACACGTAACAGTTGGGAAGATGGAAGGCTTCATTGGAAGACTATGAGGTACTAAGACAAGAGAATCCAAACAATGAAGAGGTGAAACAAGGCTTGTCCGAGGCTCGAAGGCAACTCAATATACCCGAAACACCGCCGAAAAAAGAAGAGGCAAAACAAGATCTGTTAGAGGCACGAAGACAACTCAAGAAAAAAGAAACATATGAAGAGTTGAAACAAAGCTTGTCGGAGAACCGAAGGCAAGTCAAGAAAAATGGAACACCGAGCTTGCCCAAACCTTATAGGCAACTCAAGAAAAAAGAACCATCGGACAGCGAAGATATGAAATGGGTCTTGTCCGAAGCTCGGAGACTACTCAAGAAAAAAGAAACACAGGATTCCGAAAAGACGAAACAAAACGTGTTCGATGCTCAAAGGCACTCACAAAGATGAACTAAGAAACAACACAAGCCGAATATAAAATAAATAGAAAAAAAAAAAGCAACTCGAAGGGAAACAACAAAGGAAACCAGCGGCCAAGGAATTAAGAAGAGTAGGTTTCGCAATGAAGCATGAAACATTATTTATGATCGGTAAAGGGGGGGGGGAATGTTTTCTTTGTTGAGCGGATTTCAAAGCCAAATTTTGATACTTACAGAATTATATTTGGCATTTTATGTGTGCGTTCATTGGTGAGAATGCCTTTCAACTTGGATTATACCAATTTAATCTACTATTACTTGGATTAATGTAGTATCTCAATTAGGGAAACAAATATAAATTATTCCATTTCTATTAAATAAATCAATTTAATATATATACAAATAAAGAGTCGAGTGAAGCATTTTTTTATATATTTTTTATTTAAAAATAACGATAATTTTTTTCATTCACAATTCTACCTTCAAAAATATATTTCATTTGCATAACAATAAAACCTATGAAAAAAAGGGTGAAGTATACAAATGATCTCCAACGAGAATGACACTTTAGTGAGGGACTCGATTATTAAAAATTACAAAATAATCCTCCGACTATAAAATATTATTTTGTTGAGTCATTCGACCATTAATAGTTACAAAATAGTCACCTCAATATGTTTTAAATTCGTCATTTTCTATTAAAAATTTGATAATAGTCTAAGTTAAACGTTAACCTATTGACTGTAATATGAGAATTATCCTTAGGCTGGACGGAGTGTTTTCTAATCAATATAATAAGTTTTGCTCATTGTTTAGTCTTTCTGTAATACAATTTTATATTTTCTTTAATCGTTTCTTTCTTCTCTTTGCTTCTCTAAGCACTCATCTCTTCCCAGAATATCAAACGACTATCATATCTCAATCATCATATTAACATTCAATTGATACGACAATTATTTTTTCAACAGAAAATGACAAGTTTAGAACATAATTTAATAATCAAATAACTATTTTATAACTTTTAATAGTAGAGGGACTAAACAAAACAACACTCTAGAGTTAGAGAATCATTTTGTAACTTTTAATAGTTGAGTGACTTAATAAAGTAAAACCCTATAGTCGATTGTATACTTTATCCTAAAATATTGATTTTGTTAAACAATAATTAACATTTTCTAAAATAATAAGTGTTATTTATTAAAAGTCGACCTTTTTTAATATTTTTAACTAATACAAGGACTATGAATCCATTTAATATTAAAAGGACCAATTTGAACCAATATCTAATAAAAGAAGTAACTTGAACCAATTAATGATCTCTATAATAGAGACTAAATTATTGCAAACTAAATTAATACATTCTCTACGATAGAGGAACATAACAAATACAAATTTGAAGCTACACTAGTTTTAGATTTTGTATTCTATTGGAATAATTCATTTTATTACTTCAAAAAAAATTATTTGTACTTAGAATTAAATCTAAATAAAAATCTTAATTTTATAATTTAAATTAGTAATTCAAGCCAGTTTGAACGGGTCTAATAGGAGGTTCACCATAATGAGAAAGAAATTGAGCACATAATAGAAAGAAAAAGAAGAGGCACTACAAACTGAGATCATACATTTTATAGTCTTTGACAACATATTAGAAGTCACGAAAGAAGCTAGAATCTGTTAGGCAAATGCATGTGGAAACATACAAATACAAAATTCTCGAATCTGGAGTAGCAAGAAGATCTTACATTCATAAGAATCATTGCAAGCACGCTCCTTTCTATCTCCCCGAAGGAATCCCTGTTATCCGCTGTAGATCCATCTTGCATTTGTCCCTCAGATCTTTTAGTTCAATGTAACTGGCTTGCTGCAACACAAGTTCATTTTGTACCAGTCACATACTGTAAAATCCTTTGGTGACATTGTACATTAGCAATCAAATTTAGTCAGAGGGTAAGTATCATAATCGGAAAAGTACTTTCGTTTAGCGTGGAAAATAAAAATCTAAGCCGAAGAAGAATAGAAGAGACTTACGAGCTGGTTGCTTTCATGAACAAATATATCCTCCATGTTAAGAAAGAGTGATTTCCACTGATTTGTGAGGTCAGATTCTAATTTTGAAGATGCATTAGGATTTCCCTGGTTATGAATGTCACTTTGTTTCCCACCGGAACTTTTCTGGACTAAAATGTTTGCTTCTTTCTGACTTTTCTTCAAGACTGAGAAAATGGGTAAAATATGAAAACACAAAACATGTTACAATTACAACCAAAATAAACCAGAGGAAAGTAGAGCCAAAGGCTATTCGACTCACCAGCTATTCGACCCTTAGTATCCTGATAATGAAGGTCCGACCAAATGTAGGCAGCTGATTATCATTGCAAAAAAAGCATAACCCGTTAAAATACACATTACAAGAAAGGTCTTACATTCCAAAAAAAAAAATCATTCACCATAAATAGAAACTAATAAAAAGCCCTGAAATACCATAGAAAGACATCATGATTCCTTTTGGGTAACAAAATTATTTGTTGATACAGAAATAAAGATGTCAAAATCCTACCACTATAACTAGAAGTTCCAACTAAAAGAAACACCGATGATTTCGAAGATCCAAAACCAAATATAGTGGTATTCGGTAGCAACATCATTAAGAAGCCTGCCGATCAGGATAGATTGATCTGAAATCTGATTCAAATCCAATACATTACTTATGGGCAGGGTTTTAAGTCGCGGTTTCGGTTATTTCGGATTTACCGTGATTGTGGCCGTTGCAGGTAACTCGGACAGTGGCGAAACCACTATATCGCGGCCGAAATCGCGGTCGTTGACCATTTTTTAAAACTCTGCCTATGGGTACACGAGAATTGTATTGAATCAATTTCTTTTAATGAATCAATTTCTTTTAATGAATCAATCCAATCTCAACTTTGAACATGGAATTCAAAGGGAGTTAAATGGGAAATGATCTTCTGAAATCTGAATCATAATGTGTGTGTGTGTTAGAGAGAGAGAGAGAGAGAGAGAGAGATACCTTTCAAGCAAAAAGAACAAGAGCAAGCTTTGAGCATATCAATACTGGCATTCAAATTAGAACCATCATTCTTGAGTTCCGCACACCTCCCCAGCTCGAACGGCCGTAAACTTGATGTTGACTTAGGTAACCTCGACCACTCGATACACCCACCATTACTTGACGCTAGTCTACCAATGCCTAAATACCCAGTCTCATCCCTGCAACTATCATTCAACGTATCCCTTACTTGCCTAACACCGTCACCTTGATCTAACCTATCATCATTATCAGACAAATCAACCCCTTCCCTAACCTCACTAACTTTCTCATTAACCGACACCGAATCCTCTTTTGAGGTATGAATTTCACCACTACAAGTATAAGAGGGATTAGGGTTTGGTTCAAATTGGGATTCATTAGGTTTCTCTCGGATCAAACTTTCTTCACCTACACAAACTTGTTTTGTAAACCGGTTATCTGCTTCTTTAGGATTAAAACCTAAAGCATCAGAAATCGACGAAAACCCTCTTTTAACAGATCGATTTGTAATGTCACCTAGAATTGAACGGACTCTGGGTTCTCCGTCGATCAAATTATCTCCGCTCATTCTGAAATTATACATTTAAAAAAAACAATTCAGCTTAAACTCGATGGACAGCAGAAAAATTAAGGAATCGTAAAAGAATGAATGAAAATTCAAACAAAATGGGGGTTTCGGGGATATTAAGGACTTACCTGATGTGCTGAGAATCGAAAAGGGAACGGAATACGGAAGTGCGAGAAAAATAAAACTAAAAAAATGTGAGGGCTTAAATTCTTTAAGTGAGGGCGGGAAGCATATGCGAAATGGGATATGACCCGGGATTTTGAAATGTGATTTTGGGTTGGGTAAAGTACAAATTTAGTACCTAACTATCACTTTTTTCTGTTTTAGTACCTATACTTTTAAGTTTTTCAACATCATACCTAAAGTTTACTTTTCGTTTCGTTTTAGTATCATGCCGTTAAAATTTAGGTACTAAAATGAAACAAAAAATTAAAAGTGAGATACTAAAATAAAATAAAAAGTTAATTACTAAGATGAAACAAAAAGTAAACTTTAGGTAAGGTTTTGAAAAAATTGAAAGTTTGGGAACTAAAACAGAATAAAAGTAATAGTTTAGATACTAAACATGTAGTTTACCCTTTTTGGTTTAAGGAGCCCGGGTGGTCAAATCTTGAAATTTAAGCTTCAATCTTTAGATCCGTTTTATATTTATGTTTAGAATTCAAACTACTCTTAACTTTAAAATTCTTAGATTTCCATCCTTATTTTACTTCATTGTCAAAAATGTTATTTTTCAGTATTTTTCTTCTAACCTCTTAATATATTGATGAACTCATTTCATTGTCTTATACCACTTCATCAGTCTATACTCCCCCCCGAATCTCTTTAAAATTTGTAAACCTTCAACCACAAAGAAAAATGATTATGATTAACAATCTTCATCGTTCAATCATCATCAAATCATGATATACTTATCAATTAAATATATATTAAATTCGCATTCAAACGTTAAAAATATGAGTGAATTAAAAATTTTAAGGTGTAACAATTATCGATGAAAGCGGCTGACGTTGACTAATGAAGGCAATCAACACTTTTGACGACGGTAATAAGTGACAGATAATGAAGTGAATTTTGATTTGAGTCAAAGGTTAAATTGATATTTTATATAAAGTTAAGATTAAATTAGTATTTTATGTAAAGTTTAAGGTCAAAATAGTATTATATAAAAAATTCAAAGGTCAAGTTAAAAGTTAACCATTTTTACTAATCACTTCAACAAAGTAGTTGGAGTTAACTGTCCAATGACTAAAATAAGACGAACTGAAAATAAAAGCGATAAAACCAAATATTTTAAAAACTAATAGATCAAAATCGAATATACTTAAAATGTAAGGGACTAGTAGTATTGTTTACCCTATTCTTGTTGTATTTTATTACGTTTTGTAATTTCAATCGGGTTTTTTTTTTATTTATACAGGATGAGTACAAAGGTATTTATTCCTATATAACTCTTCACTATTCAACACTAATACTCATATCTCATAATATTTTTTATATTCGAATCCTATATGAATAATAATTACTTATAAAAATATAAAATATAGTAGCAACTTCCAAGCACAGATGCCATACCTTGACTAAACAAAGCCATCGACCCTTGGGCCACTACATGCCAAAATTGCATTCAACGATCAACACAACAAAAACGTGTTTAATTCTGCTAGATAAATACACCCGGGGGTGTCTGTAGTGTTTCAGCTCCAACTTCTTCGGTAAGAGCTAATTTTCTCACTCATTTCTTCCTCAAGCAATCATCACCGAGGCCGCGTAATCCTGCAAATTCGATACAAATCGAGTGAGGAATTGTTAGCCTCCAGAAGTTTTGCAACATTCACATGGCGATTTCCATGGAAGTCAGTCTGAATCCCAGCAGATTGGTTTCGACGAACACAAAGTTAGGGTTCCGGCGAATGAAGGTCCAGGCCGTGTCGTGTGGGGTTGATGGTTTCGCCGCCGCTGAAAGGGGGAAAAGCAGTTTTTATAAAGTTCTTTCTCTTGATTCGGAGAATGTGGGCTTAGCTGAAATAAAGAAGGCTTATAGAAGGATGGTTCTTCAATATCATCCCGATGTTTGCTCTCCTTCGAGTAAAGAAGAATCGACCCAACGGTTTCTAGAGCTTCAAACAGCTTACGGAACACTTTCGGATCCGATTTCTCGTCAAATTTATGATTACGAACTGAGTTTGGTTAATTCAATTGGTTTTGGATTTGGGAATTATACGATGAATGAAAGGAGGAGATCAAATGTTCGGAGGGATGTAAAAAAACGATCGAATGTTACTAGAATGCAGAGAATGAAAAATAGGTAAAAGGTAGAAAACTTATGATTTGTATCGATTCTTTCGTGGAAATATAACTTCTTTTATGTTCAAGAAATTTCTTGCATCAGTTTCAATCAAAATCACAATAATCAGCATTATTAACCGAGTAAAACCGGATATTGAATTCGAATAATGAATATTAGATCTCCAATTCTATTGCGAAAGTCGAAAATTATTTGAATTTATCACAATATCTAAATCCACAATATATATATATATATATATATATATATATATATATATATAATATTTGTAAATGTCCAAGTTCGAACCATTCACTACCATTCCAACATCTCTGAATTCAGATTAACTTGATCGCTTGAGTTCCAGACCAGAAGCAAATGTATGATGGAAAAAGCTTTAGCAACAGCAACAAACATTCCTTTCCAAAATGCATCAGAAGATTTTTTTTATAGAATTGACAAATGTAGCACCTATTTTTGCAGATCTCCGTTGATATCCAAGTGGCAGTAAACATGACTATTAATTCCACAATCTCTGATGCTGCCATAATTGAATCAACTAGGAACAAAGTGAGAGAGAAAAAAGGTATAATGCTGCCTCAAAGTCAATCGATCTACCTGCCATCTTTACTGATTAAAACCTGCCCAATTTCAGTAATTAATCAGATCCGAAATAATAGTTAAAAAGAGGTTTTGGAAGCCAAAAAAATGGAATATATAAATGCACGCACAGAACCGTTGTTGCTTGTTCTTTGTAGACCGATAATCTACTGAATTTAATATGTTCTTTTTAGACTGATAATCTTCAGTTAACTCCATGTCTCTTGGATTGTTACAGGAGCTTTTGTTTTATGGCTTGGCTATGGAGTCGACAAAGAATTCTCCCCCAACTTTTCTTCAGAGTTCACATGTGTATCTCATGTATCATATTCATAAAAGTAACTACACCCGTCTTATATTACCAACTTATAATAACATCTAATTGCTACAACTTTTTGCAGTCTTTACTGTTAATACAGAGGGCACTAACATTTCCCTATTGATTGCATCAAGTGCAATCAGACTAATACTATGAATAATTCGGATCTTGAGAATCATTTGGCAATAAGAAGCCTCCCATACAATACAAGCCCTCCCAACTCACTCCTTCCAACCTTCAAAACTATATTATTAATTCAAGGGTAAATGATCCATTAGAAACCTTAGAACAGCCATGTTGGTTTATATGCACTATCCCCAATAACAACACAAATTTACCATCACAACTTACAGAAAGAAGGTTGTGCCCAGTGCACAGGCTCACACTATAAACAGGATCCAGGGAAGGCACTGATATATAAGTGTTCCCCGTTTTACACAGAGAGGTTGCTTTCAGGGTTCAAACTGCCAACAAATGGATAACAAGTAAACATTTGATCATGTGCTGGGATGTGAGGGGAAAATCGTGTCTCAAATGACAGTATCTAAGAAACTAGGCAGTCGTGTATTGTTATGAACCATCCTAGAAGGCAATGGATGTATAAAAAGTTTCAACACAACATTATGCAAGAGTATGACAGTACCTCGTATAATAGGCATAACAACTACGTCGATATATCATTTAATCTCATTGGTATATAATATAAACTCTAGATGAAAGTTTTCAGTCATATTCAGGGAGTCAAGAATCTCAGACCGCTTAAGAGGATAAGGAAGAAGATAGAAAAGGAAAATAAATGCTGCTTTTATAAATCACTTCTTAGTAGGTTGCCAGTTATTTGGATGTTAAAATAGTTCAGAGGTATTATACTCATTGCGGAAGTCAATATCTTACACGGACTCCTTTGCAAGAAAATGCATATTCCCAAAGCACAATGATTTACGGATCAACCATCAAATACAATATAAAATTGGTCCTGTCACATGATGCATTAGAAGCATGTTTCATAAAAAAAAATCATAAAAACCAGTTCAATTCATTTGATAACCATAATATATTTTGTTTGCATCCTACAAACCATTGATTTCGAAGTCCCTTGTGAACAAACACCTGATCCATTATGGTAGCATCATATAACAAAACAAAGCAAATGAATGAATAAATAAAGGACAATTTGAAAACAGATTGCATCCATTATGAACACAATGTATTTCAAGTAATATGGTTATTCAGATAATATATAGGAACGTGATCTTAAATGAACAAAAATTGAGACAATATAAGAAAATAATAATAGTTATTAGTAAGTGAAAGAATACCTCATACCCTTGTACAAGATGCGTCAAAATCATCGGGAGCAACATGTACAATCCAATTACTCAATGTCCTCTTAATCTCTGAGTGATTGACATATGCCAACTCATACATACTACACAAATTGATCACTAAAGTCTCATTTAATGCTATGGTAGGAATTCTTTCTAGTGCTTTCTCCAATACCTTAATTGAATCAGATAGATCTCTCAAATACATCAGACACAGTGCCTTATTATTAAGCGCAACAACATCCGTATGATCCCTTTCAATACACTCCTCATATTCCCTCACAGCTGAAACATAATCTTTGCCCACCAAATAAACCAAGGCCTTGTTTCTATTCACAAGATTCCTAAATTGAACTTCACTCAGAAAATACTCATCACTCTTTCTTTCATTTAACATAGTCTCCACACTGTTAAACGACCCTTTTGCCCCTTCAATATCCCCAATCTGCATCTGAATATACCCTAATTTAGAAACTAAAACCGGATCTAAGTAATCACGATTAATCAAATCCTTGATCAAATCCAAACTCAAACTGAATTCCTTATCCCCCAAGTGATGCCCAATCAAACAATTCAAAACAGAGTTTTCCCTTCTTTTCCAAATTCTGACAGAATCATGTAGGTCATGACTTTCTTTCTCTTTAATTTTCTCACGAATAAACTTAAGCAAAAGATAACAGCGATCTAACCCTTCTTGCCGATTCCCAAGCTTGATCGGAAGCTGAGCGTGGATGAACCGAAGAGAGAAGGGTATCATCGAACCAGACCGGTTGGGGTAAAGTCGAGGGTAGGTTTCGTACTTATAATAGCTGCTGTTGAAGTCGTCGAGGGTGTCGATTTCGTTCGAAGCCTCGGAAAAACGGCGTAGCTTTGAGAAGGCGAGGACGTTGTAGGAAAGGTAAATGAGGTGGTCGTGGGGGCTGGTTAGGAGATTGAGGGAACGGGCTCGGGAAACTTTGTCGAGGATGGACCGCCAGGAGCCGCGAGTGGCGAGGTCTTCGAGAGAGGCGAGCTCGTGGGCTAGGTCGTTGAGAGATCCTAATTGGTTCGTCGGAGGGTCCGGGGTTGGGGAAGGTTCTTCCATTGTGACCACGACGGTGGGTTGAGAATGTGCGACGAAAGTTCCACCTTGGCTTCAGCTTTCGCATTTTGTCTCTATTTTTCCCAAGTTTTTTGGGGCAAACTACATTAATAGTCCCTTAACTTTTCTTATGTCTAGTTTGGTCATTTAAATATAAAAGTTTCAATTAAGACATTAAACTTTTTAAATATTATTTGATTAGTACATTGTTCAATCATTAACTACGTGATAATATCGACACTAAAATATTTATATTTTTCTATATTTTTGTTCTCATTGATTTCGTATGTTGATAAAAATCTATCCAAAATTGTAATCTTTTAATGCTTTAATCTTCATTAATAATTGTTTCATGAAGGTCAATTTTGAGATATGTTATTTATATTCTCGAAAGAATTTTCTCACCAGAATAAACACTTAAGTTTTTAAATTTATCGAAGTTTATAAACCTTCAAAATAATATATTTATTATATATAGTCTTCTGAATTTTAATTAGGCTTTGGAAAAAAAGTAAACCAATGAAGAATAACAAGAATAATTTATTATAATTTAACCTGATAAAAATATGTCAAAAATAGTTGAAAATGAGAAGATAATTTCAAAATTTAATAAAAAAGACGAAAAGTAAAACATATCAGATCATATAAAAATAAATAAAATTTATCTTGGCTTTTACATCACATTAAAAATTTCATATCATCCTATTATTTCAAATTATTAAATAATTAATATTATAAGTCAAATAGTTTATAATTTTATGATTAAAATGAAACAACATCTAAAAATTATTTTTTAAAAAGAGGGACTCGTTAAAAATCCTTTTCTAGGTTTTACGAGGGGAAAAAAGTGTCCAAATGAGGTATATTACTCAGAAACAATGTCATTAATCAATAATCTCGAGATAAATTAAGTCAAATAAAAGCACACTCTTAAAAGGAAGGGCCCAATAATCTAACTTATGCGCAACCTTGTTACAATTACGAGGGGCAAATACAACATTGAACAAAACATTGCAATCTGGCTAATATATCACGAGCTTCCTTCAAATAATAACCCAGGGTGGACAAACCATTCATATCACTACGCAGCTTGTTAATCACCATAGCGAAGTCCGGCTCGAAAATCACTCGGTGCCATTGGTTTTCACGAGCAAAATTCAGTCCGACAACAAATGCATGAATCTCCGCGAGTCCAGCTTCGATAGAATTTGGAGACGAGAAAGCCATCCCACCCAAAAGCAACCCTGGAGTCTCGAGCAATTAAACCAATAGCGATCAATAGTCTTTGGGGATCAAAAGTGCCGTCCACACTCACCTTGACAACGCCTGGTTCTGGGGGGACTCTACCGTTCATCTTCGACGCGAATAGGAAGCCGTGAGACGTTGTATGGGGGAAAAATAGTCACCTGTAATGGTAACTAGTTTAGAGTCACCCCAAGCATCATTACAATGGAAGTAAGTGCTCATCATTACAATGCCTTTTATTTTGGATGCTTATAATTTGGATAGTTATGGTTGGATATAAACTGATTTTGAATGCAGCGTCTTCCGTTTATGCTTAAACTGATTTTGTGTGATTGTTTGCTTTGCTCAACTTTGTGTGGATATGGACTTTTTGAGTGCGTTTTTAGTGGATTATGGCTATCTTTAGCTTATTAGTCATTAAATAAAGAACTGAAATGGCTAAAAAGAAGAAAGTGAAAGGTTAGTATTGTGCTCAATGTTGAATGGAAGACAGGTCAAATTAATAGTCTCTTGCATTTTTGCTAAATTAAATTCTTTAAAGATTTGGTGTGATTGTTTTGTTTGTTCACCTAACCTTTATGATTGTGCATCTGTGCTTCTGGCTAATTCGAGGTATTTTAGCTTATTAGTAATTGAATAGACGCTTAACCGGCTGAAAAAGAAGTAAAAAAGTGAGTATTCTGCTCCATTTTAAGGGTTAACTCTAGATGCAATGGGTAAAAATCCTTTAGTCAATGTTTTGGGATTTCTTTCCTAAAGATGAACAAAGATGTATGATATAACGTGTATTTCGGCATCAATTGATCAACGGGGCTACCGGACTATGGGGATGGCTCTAACAAACATGATTGATCAATCCTAGATTTCCTTTGCTCATTTTCTTCTTGGTGTCTTGATATCTAATCTCTCTTTAATTCTCCAGACAATAATGATCTAGGAACCGCTTGTGGGAAGTACTTCCGTGTATCCTGCTTGAGTATTGTCGATCCAGGTAACACCATTTTTAAATTCTGATAATTCCTTGTCTCTAAAATTTGATTTCTGCAGATTACAAATTTTCTTTAATCGATCCAATCCTGCAGGTGATTCTGACATCATCAAGTCTCTACCAGGTGACCGCTAAGTCGATGATGGTTCAGTTCTCTAGTTTCCGACTCCACTATGTTGTTTCTCTTTTCCCCCAACCCCTTTTGTTTAAGAATATTTGGTATCTTCTTTATGCCAAGTTGTGGATGTTGCTAAATTTTGTAGCTTGAATACCAATTTTTGGTTAATGAAGATTCTGGATTTTCATTAGTGTTGCTTGTTTAGCTGCAAGTTTACCGGTTAGGTTTTGAACTTTTCATTTGCAAATACAGTTATTACATTCTAACTGGAATCAAATCCAGTTTTGCTTAAATGGTGGCAATTCGATAAGGAAACCCAGTTTTGCAAATACAGTTAAGCAAAACTGGGTTTATTTCTACACACAAGAGAAAGTAAGTCCCAAAACTAAAATTGGCGGATCAAAAACCAGCAGGGGACCCTCCTTTTCTTGGGTCACTGACCGCCACAAGTTCTCCAATGCTTCCATTTCCAGTGTCCAAATTGTGAACTATAAATTGGCTAATCGTCCCACCAGCTAGTCCTTTTAAAATAGAGAAAATCGCCTCAGTGACCAAAAAAAAGTTATAATATACGATTTTAACCAATTTTTTTTGGATTTGTCAAAATGACCAACAAAATCGCAACGCGAAATAAAAATCGCAACGCGATCCCCAGAATCGCAAATCAGTTTCCAAAATCGCAACGCGATTCTTGAAAATCGCAATGCGATAGTACAAATTCGCATTGCGATTTTCCATAATCGCAACGCGAATATGAAAATCGCAACGCGAACACATAAATCGCAACGCGTATCCGTAAATCGCAACGTGTATCCGTATATCGCAACGCGTATCCGTAAATCGCAATGCGTATCCGTATATCGCAACGCGTATCCGTAAATCGCAACGATAATACATAAAATCGCAACGCGTATCCGTAAATCGCAACGCGATATTTAAAGCGCCATTATAATCGCTACGCGTATTTTATTTTCAAATTACAAAAAGAATATTAAGACAAAATCCCGTAATCGCAACTCATAACCTAAAACCTAAAATCACAACTCAGTCCCATCTCCATCTCTCACTCTCTACGGCGAAGAAATCCGTCCCCATCTCCGAAGATTTCCGTCCCCATCTCCGGCGAAATCCCTCACAACCATTCACGGTCAGAAATCCCTCACAATATTCAGAAATGGAAAATCAACCTCCGAGGGTTAGTTTTTTTAATTATTTTTATTTTGAAATGTTTGCATTATTGTAGGTTTTTCATATTGAAACTGATGATAAGTTTACTGGTCATTTCAATAATAGATTAACCATTTCACTTAGATTTCATTTCGCGTTACGATTCTGTCGTTGCGATTTTCATTTCGCGTTGCTATTCTCTCGTTGCGATTTTCAAGTTAGTATTTGTCTTTGTCTTTGTTCTGTCTTTTGGTTGAAGTAATGCAATCCATTCAAGTTTCAATTTGCAGAAGAGTCGCAACGAGATAAATGAAAATCGCAACGAGAGAATGACTGTCGCAACGAGAGAAATGAAAATTGCAACGCGAAATGAAAATCGCAACGAGAGAATCGCAACGCGAAACCAAAATCGCATTGCGATTTTCATTTCGCGTTGCGATTCTCTCGTTGCGATTTTCATTTCTCGTTGCGATTTTCATTTCTCTCGTTGCGACAATCATTCTCTCGTTGCGATTTTCATTTCAACCAAAAGACAAAACAGTGTTGCAAATTTTAGTTTCAAGAATAAACTACTACTTTTTATGTTTATTGTTTTTGGTATATCTTCACAGTGTAGTTTTTGGTATATCTAACTTGGTATGTTTATTGTTTTTGTAGAAATTTTTTTCGGCTCAATTGACCTTGAGAAATAAAGTCAGCCTGGCCACTACAATTGCAAAGAAGCTTTCACCTGCTCAAAGACAATTGTTTGAGGAAACCTGCTTCGGGCCATGGCTGAGAGTACAGCATCCGGGTGGAGATGCTAATTTGACCCATTTGTGGCTTCAGACCATGACATCAAATCTACCCGACAGTATACAACGTGGTGAGGAAGAGATATGGTTTCATTTTCCACCAGCGTATACTTGTTTTGGGCGGAAGGAGTTCTGCTTAATCACTGGTCTACGATTCGGACACGATGATGTAGGCCGGTACACTCGTCATATCGCCCGCCCATCATGGTTATCCCGGGTTTTTCCGGATGAGTCAATGGAGAAGCCGAACCTACATGTCGACGACCTGAAGAAATTGTTTAATAAGAAAGCTGGTTTCACTCGGATGGATGACGTCGATGTTGTCCGAGTATGCCTTCTACTACTTGTGTATGCCGGCTTTTTAGGCAGAGAGGCCAGACAACCTATTCATCGGGAGCTAATAATATTGGTAGAGGACCTGAATGCATGGAATCTGTTTCCGTGGGGTTCGTATATATGGAAAGCTACCTGGACTAAGTTGTCGTCTGCCTTTGATGACCGCAAAAGTTTGCGGGGCGATGGGTCCAAATACACTTTGTCAGGCTTTGTTTGGGCCTTTAAGGTAAGAATTTCTATATAATGTTTCTAAAATTATAATTAATTATTTAACAATTACTAATTTTGTTATTATATTGTTTGTAGATTTGGATATTCGAGGCTTTCCCCAGCATGCGTACATATGCAATAAAAACGTCAAATGATATTCCCAGGGCTATTTCCTGGAAGAGGAAAACTCTGTTGGATTGGGAAGACTTAATACCATATGCCACAATAAATAATGTAAGTTAACACAAATACTTTCATATAATATATAAACAAGTTATTAATAGTAGACGTTTAACTTTGTTTGAGTTTTTATATTTTAGGAGGCCAACATTCCATTAATAAGACTGACACCCACGGAGGAAGAGCTTGCCACTGATTGGTGGCAAGCTAGTCAGAATTTTTTTGATGGCACGGATGATGAGCAGCATCCACTTCCTCCAATTCGAGAGCCATCACCTCACCTAGAGCCATCACCCGATCGACCCGACTATACACCTCTAGAACGAGAGCCATCACCTATCCCGTCACATCATCGAGCCTCTTCTCCACCATCACCTCATGATAGGCGACCGACAAAGATGCCACGACTCCTATCTCCCTGTTCTCCACCTCCACCTCAACGGGATGAGTCAAGGGAGTTACGTGATGAGGTCAATGCCTTGCGTGAGGAGATCGGTACTCTACGCGATAACGATGGTGCATGGCGTGTGGAGGTGTCAACTTTACGTGGTGAGGTTGCCGCTCTACGTGAGATGATAGTATCGTTGCAGAATGAGGTTCATACTCTACGCAACGAGGTAAGTTTAAGATTTTCCATATTTAACTTAATGATAAATTTACTCGTAATTTCACTTAGATTAGCCATTTCACTTAGATTGCTTAGTAAATTTATTCGGTTGCTGCCAATTCTGCTAAACTGTGTATTCTTTAACACTGTGAAATAGTATTTGTCTTTGTTTTGTCTTTTGGTTGAAAATAAATTTGTTCGGTTGCTGCCAATTCTGCTAAACTGTGTATTCTTTAACACTGTGAAATAGTATTTGTCTTTGTTTTGTCTTTGGTTGAAAGTAAATTTGTTCGGTTGCTGCCAATTCTGCTAAACTGTGTATTCTTTAACACTGTGAAATAGTATTTGTCTTTGTTTTGTCTTTTGGTTGAAAGTAAATTTGTTCGGTTGCTGCCAATTCTGCTAAACTGTGTATTCTTTAACACTGTGAAATAGTATTTGTCTTTGTTTTGTCTTTTGGTTGAAAGTAAATTTGTTCGGTTGCTGCCAATTCTGCTAAACTGTGTATTCTTTAACACTGTGAAATAGTATTTGTCTTTGTTTTGTCTTTTGGTTGAAAGTAAATTTATCCATTCAAGTTTCAATTTGCAGAAGAAGAAATAGTTTACTTTCGCAACACGAAACTTAAAATCGCAACGCGAAACCAAAATCGCAACGCGAAATGAAAATCGCAACGACATAATCGCAACGCGAAACCAAAATCGCAACGACAAGATCGCAACGCGAAACCAAAATCGCATTGCGATTTTCATTTCGCGTTGCGATTATTTCGTTGCGATTTTCATTTCGCATTGCGATTCTGTCGTTGCGATTTTCATTTCGCGTTGCGATTTTGGTTTCGCGTTGCGATTTTAAGTTTCGTGTTGCGAAAGTAAACTATTTCTTCTTCTGCAAATTGAAACTTGAATGGATTGCATTACTTCAACCAATAGACAAAACAAAGACAAATACTAACTTCAGGGTATTAGTTTGAAACATATTTTTCTTTGTTATCTGATGCATTTTGTGAACTATGATAGAATAATGACTTGGGTGAATACAATGCAAGTTTGAAACATATTTGTCTTTGTTTTCACTGTTTAAATATCATGTCTGTTTATTTACTGATTTTTGTATTTAATTATTTAGCGGCCCGATAGAGTGGATGCTTTACGTCGGGTTATGCTTGCACGACGGAGTTCACGCATCAGACAGCGTGCACGTGCTATTAAGTCTCCGTACACCCCAATAGTGCGAAGACACCGCAAGAAGAAGCCCGACTCGCCTGTCATCCCTCAAGAGTCCACTCCTATCGTTGAAGAGGCCCCCCTTATCATTCCTCGAGAGTCCCCTCCCACCGTTCAAGAGGCCACTGTCATCATTGAAGAGGTCCCTCCCACCATTCAAGAGCCCGATTCACATGGCGTCATATGTAGGCTTCTTGAGAAACCCTCTGACGTGCCGGACATGATGGATTCAAGTTGGCTCTCGTATGAGTTACCGGCCAGTACCATACCGGTATCTGAAGAGGAGAGGGAACAACTACCGGACACAATTTTGGATAACACCCTTTGGGCTAAGACCGCAGTTGATTTTTATCTACATGAGCGGAGCAAGGGGTGTTTCACTGACATATGCAAGCTCACCGATGATATCTATTTGTTGCTTGAACGGTCTTGGTGGGGCGTATTATTAGGGGTCGAAGACAATGGCTATTTCGATGGGGGGTAAGTCTTATATTTTTCTTATATTTCAATTTGATTAATTTTTTTTTTTTTATGTAAGTCACTAATATATGTCTTTTTTTGTAAAACAGCATATCGATGCGTGGGTGACACGTCTTCTAATAATAAGAAAACTTAAGAAAAATAAAAATATACGATATACAATTATGCCGACGTCTTTTCACGCCGTTCA